CAAATCATCTACAACAACAAAGCAAAGGATTAATATAGTTTGGTTTTTTAACATAATCAACCAATAACTCTAACTTGCTTAAGATAAAACTAAATTTCGAGTATGTAATCATGGTTGCACAAGAAACAGCAGGGAGAAGGGCAGGTGACTCAGAATAAAATTGAATTTGAAAAGCACAAGACTATAATGAAACCACGATAAATCAGCAAACAAAGAATAGTTTATTGTTATGCAAGATTAGGGCAGTTCAAAACTTTGGCATATTATGAAGAGCTCGAACAGATGCTATAAACTTACTGTAACCAAACATAGTTCCTCTCTCACAAACCATCACATTTGGATTTCCAGCCAATCTAATTTTCTCAGCTGAATTTGTCATGACCTGCATATTTGATATTTATGAAGTATATGTAGAGACAAGCAACAATTAGAATTTGAACACATCAGATTGGACAATATACTTACAGAAGGAGCACAGAACTGGCCTTTCTTGATGTTGACAATTTTTCCAGTTTTGGCTGCTGCCACTAGAAGATCTGTCTGTCATAAGAGGGAAAATAAAAGAAATAAGTTAAATTGGGATGTCTATCCACCAAAAAGTTCAGTTAGTTCTACAGGTACTGGTAATTGAACCCCCGGGGGGGGGGGGGGAGTTATTTTACTTGACGACATAAGAATGCTGGTATCTGAATAACATCTGCAACCCTGCCAACTGGTTCACACTAGCAAAATAGAAGATAATGTGTAACAGTTAGTTCAGAAATTAGGAGTCTAAACTTCATTAAAATGCACCTTTAATAAGAACATATCAGAATCATCCATTCAATAACTTCAGTAAATTAAAGTGCTGATGTATTATGAATTTAACAATAAAAAATTGAAAGCCAATTTAACTCAACTATGGAGGGGTACAAGTCAGACAGAAAGGGAAAGATAGCAAGGTCAAATCAAGCTTTAATGGTCTGGAACCAATTAATACTCTAACACAGTTTTTTGTAAAGTTATATCCCCAGATAGATCAATTTCTTTGGTCTCCCACAAACATGCAATACACAGGGGCACTCAACAGCGAAAAGAATCATTGATAATAAGGATGGACAACCAGCTGGAGTCCGCTAAAATAACATCTGTTAATTAGAAACCCTAAAGGTCTAAGGTCTACAATCAGAAAATACTGGCCTAATTTTTTTTCCTTGTTCATCCAAGTCGTTATGTCTTGCATTTGGGTAAGCACCGCTTGAATTGTCATTGAGCTTTTTCTCGCCTTTTAGCAATGATAATAATTGAACTGCATTCCGGTGGCCTAAACAAATTAAAGCCAGAACAGTTTTAGCCATAGATCATGACCATCTATGATGTTTTGAATTTTTCTAGTGTTATTGAAAGATGTAGCTGATTTACAAATTTGCAATTTCTGGCAATTTTGTAAAGACCTAAATGTATAAACCCTAAACTCCCAAATTAAAAAATCATGAATTCAACTCTGACGTTATATATCAATCCATGCATCATGATTGGCATCACCGACACTGCATGAGACACTAAATCAAAATAGCAGATAATTTGAATGACCTTCATCACAATAGAGATATAGAACAAAAGACTTGATCCAAGCAAAAAAAGCTAGAAATTTGAAATCTATTCCAAGCATTTAAATGGGCAGAAATTCATACGGTTGAAATTAGATATAAGCACATGCATTACCTGGATAGCCTCATGCACATCTGTCACAATAGGCATGTCATAGGCTATTTTGACCTTCTCAAGTATCTGTAGAAAATAATGAGAAATGTAGACAATCAAATTTTTGGGTTAACTAGGCAATAAAACATAGCAAAATTGGTGCACTAAGCATGAGCTACAATTGGCATTTTTCAACATCAAATTCTGTGGTTTTGACAAATTTACTATCATGATGCAATTGTCATGGCAAAGGAAAAATGCTGCTCTAGTTGAGTCACAATACCTCTGCTAGTAGATATTCATAATTCCTTTTTATGTAAATATTTTATCATAATCATTATTAAAAATGAAGAATCATCCAAAAGTAACAATGGCCCAGAATGTAGTTAACAATGCAAGAGGTGACATCTGACCCAGGTCAGCATTCCCGTGGAATAACTTTCAGAGCCCTACAAGGGGCCGAGATATGATTACCCAGGTCATGCCACAGGGTCTGCTCATGCAACATCCAGCCAAAATCATCTGGCACAAATATAAATAACTGCTTCCTTTTTTAAGCATCTATAACTAACGCTTTTTTTGTTAAAACTCCAGAATCACTAAAGATATAGAAGCATCCTATTTCCTCAAGAAACAAGAAAAGAGCGGTGCAATTAAAAGCAGTAGGTTTCTGAACCTTCAATCCTTCAATCATGCCCGGGCCGCGAAATGATTTGGATGATGTCCGATTGGCTTTGTCAAAGCTTGACTTGAAAACCAATGGTATTCCAACCCTGGCAATTATATACTCGAGATCATGTTAGACACCGACACATACAAAAGTATACCTTTTGCTCACTGCACTTTATATGTTACTCTATTTCATAAAAATTAATTTTTACATAACTCAAATAGCAGGCTGAAAGAAGCAGATAGGGGATTCCAAATAAATTCAGGCTATACAAGTTGAAGCGAAGAGTAAACTCATCCAGCTTATGGAACAGACAAATATCAGTATAGCGGTGCCAGATAAAGAGAACAAGAAAAAGAAATATGTTGCCAGCAGCCTACGAAGAAGTTAGTTGTAGGAAACAAGGAATAACGTACTTTGATGTGATACTCTTTATGTGCTTAGCCATCCGTAGAACGTGCTCCTCAGATTCAATCACATTTGGACCCGCTAGCAAGAAGAATGGATTTGCTGACTGGGGTAACCGAAGAAAACAAATTCAACAATAAAAAATCCATTATTAACATAACTCCCAAATTGCTTAATGAAATATTACAGGGGGTAAAAATGAAGCAGATCGCTTCAAACCTTAAGCTGGTTAAACAGAACTGAAGATGGATCCATTTTCACAGTCGAAAGAAACACAAAAGGAACTGCAAGAAACAACAAAGCGCTAAGGAAATTCAGAAAATGTTGTTGCCAAGGTTTCCCAGCCTTAAAGTAAGCTACATTCTAAAAATAACAGGGGCGAGAGAGAGCGAGAGAGAGAGAGAGAGAGAGAGAGAGAGCTCAGCGAGTTTCCAACATTTTCTCAGAATCCAAGGACAAGAAGCAAATTGCCTTAGTACCGACCGTGAAGGATAGAGAGAGTGAAGGAAGTCTTGCACGATCAGCGAGAGTGGTTATCTTCCCTGACAAGAAGCAGCAGCATCTATGGCGTCGTCTCGCACAAAGTGGAATTTCACGAAATTCATTTTTTTTCCTTTTTTCTTAATACTATTTATATTAGTGATTACTATTTCCGTTGCAAAAAAATTACATATATATATATATATTAGTGAGTATTTCTGTAGTGAAATCCGTAATCAACTAATCATCAATTATCGCTTATTATCAGCCATCAAGATGATCATGGTTAGTAGTATTTTGGATTGATTACCATGGTTATTCTGGCAATAATACCATTGCAAAATAATTATAAAATAATTTTCTTAAATTGTTTGACAACAATCTTTCTTGTTAAATTGTACCTTCATTCTCCCATTTAAGTTTTCTTATCAAGAATTCAAGTCCTCACAATATATTAAATTTTTTTAACTTTATTTCAATCAAAATATACACTTTCTAAGCTGACCAAACACAATGTAAACTAATTCTTTAAAATAAATATATTTTAAAAATATATTAATTCTGAATATAGCAAATATAGTAATTAAGAAAAAAGATTACTTTTTCTTTATATTTTTGTAAATTAGTATAAAAGAATACAGCCAAACTATCATCCTTTTCCATTAATAAATATTGAAAAAAATACTTTACGCATGTGATAAAGGTGATTGTACATATTTAAGTTAAATACATTTTCGGTGTTTAATACTATCCCTGATCTTTAATATAAGACTTGATTAACTAATTTGAAGATATTAAAAAATAGTTAAGTTAGTTATTTATAAAAAAACAGGTACTGTCTTTCATAAATTATCCTTCGTAATCATATATATTAACTAAAAATATTATTTAATAAAACATTTAATATGTACAATTATTACAATAACTACTTTAAAAAAATAGATAAATATTAAAAATAAAATAGATTGAAGTCTTATAATTAAAACTAAATTAAATATCTAGTGAGTTTTTATATTAAAAAAAATAGAGGAAGTGCATATGAAAATTGAAATGCCTTTGAACTATGTCTTTGCCGAGGCAGGTAGGAAATTAGGTAAACAATTCTTACACATTTGTTCGACCACTACCTCTTTTAAAAGGTGATGAATGATAAAAGGAAATGGGGGTATTTGGATAGCACCAGAAATGCTTCTAAAAAATATTTTTTCGCAAATCGAAATAAACTCCTCCACATATTTACTTTTTATACCGTAAAAGTATTTTTAAAACCATGATTTTGATTCTATTCAAGCACCCCAAATTAGACTTCATTTCAGGGTAATTTTGATTTGATTAATGGACCATTGTGTTTCATTTAAAAAAAAAAAAAACTTTTTCGCAAGAAGCCAACAACTTCTCATGCATGCACAGAAATAGCTCTTTACCCTGAAAAAAGTGAAAAAAAAAACTACCACGGTTAAGGGACCTTTCCATTAGGAAATTGTGGTCCCAACCTTCTCATGCAACAATTGAAGTTCGACATGGCACCACGGTTAAGAAGAGAAATAAATAACTGACCCAAAAAAAAAAGAGCCTAACAAACAGATACCACGTTCATGTAAATTCAAAATAAAACTTTTCTCCAATTAAAACTCTACTTTTAAAGAATCTCACCGCTATTACAAACAAGCCCTAAGTGGTAAGAATAAGACGTAAACAATGATCAAGAATTTAAAATTTCTTAATGTAGTAAAGTAAATCAAAAAATCACAACTTACGATTAAAATTATCACTGAAATTTTCAAAATTTTTATTAATTCTTATGGAAATTACAATTTAGTCTTACTGAATTTAACAATTGTGAGTGATAATTCTGATAATATTATTACCTATCAACAAGGGAGTTATGTTATACATCACTGAACATGTGAACTTAAAAAGACATCTACAGCCCCCACAATCGAAGTTTATGCTGTTACCACTTACAAAACTTTTTAGCTAACATTGCACATCAATTTTGAAGAAAATATAACTTTAACTTGTCAATGTCTTGAAGTTTCAGGAAGTAGGCAGCTGCTATTGCAAGTATGATGAAGAGTACAGCAATCCATAAGCTCAATCCTTCTGAAAAGAGATTAACATACGTATTAATAGTGATCATGGAAGTCTCAACAGCCGAAGATCTAACACTTTCCAACAACCTTCAGAGAAGTTATGCTTCAAGAGAAACCATTAAAGTTCTATTTGGTGTGAAGCATTGAAAATGAAAAGTAAGAATTAGAATTGGGATTGAGAAAACATATTAGAAAGTGTTTAGTATGAAGGATTACCTATTAATTGGGATTGAGCAAACTGATATAGGTAGGATTGGAGAATACCACATAGAGAGGTGGTATTCCCCAATCCTAAATAACAAGCAATCACTCATACTAAACACTCTGTTAATAGATCTTCTCAATTCTAATCCCAATCCTTACCTCTTATTCTCATTGCTTCATACCAAATGGGATTTAAAAGTTCAGCACATTAAGTTGTGCAGCAAATGGTGCGTTGGATACGGTATTCTAAACTAATATTTGGTTTCATGAAAGATTAAACAAAACGGAATACCCATTTACAGTGATCGTATAGCAAAAAAACCAGGGACTTGTTGATTCAGTTATCAAGCTAGTTTAGTTTTAAATACGCACATACCATTTTTCTGCTTCTCCTCAATTACAGTAACCCTTGCACTTGAATCAAAAGATACAGAAGCCAACACCCTGTACACAAGATTCAAAACCATCACTAACTTTCGATATCCAAGCTTCAAGTTCCTGGCAAAAACAGTAACAATGTACTGGCTTCAAACCTTGAATCATGAGAGAAAGCTAACGCAGTTACTATGCCAAGGTGAGCCCTTTTAATCATTGACAGAATCCGCATATTTGTCGAATTTACAATCACAATGTCTCCTGAAGGTGTTCCACTTCATGTCAACCCAGCAAAACAGAATAGATAAGTTCTTGAGAAGTCTCACCCTTGACGTCAGGAAGATGCATCTATCTTCATTGATCACTAGAGAAGAAGTATCAGATTACTTACCATGCAACTAACTTTCCATCAGTTGAGACATTGAACGCAGAGATTGCATCACGAATAATATGCTTTGAGCCAATCCTTGCCCCAGTCTTTGCATCCCATGTCAGTATGCTTCCACCTTTGTCTGTATCCAGCAATAAAATACTTGTCAATTAAATAAAATATAATTACCCTCAGAATACTTCTAATCCAGTGAGAATATACCTGTCATGGCAGCAATATACAAGACCTGGGTCCTATCATTAATTTGAGAAAATCTGCAAGAGCTAAATACTTCACCCTGCATTGTAGTTAACAAAATATGATTGGTCTACAAATAGTGAAAGAGATGATCAGGATAAATGATTAGTGAAGGAAAAAGGTTATACAAAATATTAGCAAAAGCACTATATTGTCTTATAGTCAATGAATGCAGTTCAGAACACTCCCCAGTTGAGCAGTGTAACACAGCGGGAAAAAAATTGAAACCTTCAACTAGTCCATTTTGGCTAGATCTTGAAGATTAGAACTATCATTTATATCCAGATACATGGAGGATATTCCATAATACTTCTTTAACAGTTTGGCTACAATTAGGATACATATACGTGTGGCATGAGATGAAAAAAAAGCTTCAAAGAATATAATTTCTTTGTTTCATCCGATCCTTTATTGTTTTCCATTTAACTAATTTGGCCTCCTACATATTGGACAGAGCTTAACCAGCTAGACTATTAATGACTTTGGATAATATAGCATGTTGTAAATTTTATATTTTATCTTGATATCAATGATTTGCATAATCGCTCGCTTTACCATCGGATACCAATTCCTCTTTTTTTCTCAAAGTTGCTTTATATGATCTTAAGCTCCTTTTAGTCCAATCCAAATATATATATATATATGTGAGCAACATCAATCCAGAATTAAGGAATGTGAAGAGAAAGAACAGACAAATGCACCCAATCATTAAATAAATACTTCTAACGCATTTACAAATTGACCACCATCATTTAAAGGTCCAGATCAAAAGAAGATTTACAATAGAATCCCAAGGAGTAAGGTTATTTGAAAGAAACCCAAAAGGAAATCAGAAATCCCTCACTATCTCTCTCTAAGCTGAGGAGTATATGTCAATCAGACTAGTTTGTTAGAATGCTTTTGATCAAAGCATCAGTTGTTTGTTAATGTGTAGATGTACAAATCACCTCCATCTGATGCAATAGCCAGAAAAAGACAACTACGAAAGATCACCTTCTTCTAATTTACCTTGCAAAGCTATCTCCCAATCAATTAGTAGAAACTTGATAGCAATGATGCTCCATAGGAAACATGATGAGAAAACTATAAAGAAATTAACATTACTAGCAATAACTATAAAGCTTTACATTCTATTAATTATTTAATTTATAGATTCCATATTTCATAACTTATTCACTGCCAATAATAGTGTACAGTTCATAGTATATCCAATGTCACTCACGTTAGTTTAAACTTTACAGTCAACTTAACATTCTCTCTGTAAGTGACAATTGCTCACATTTTTACTTGATATGGAAGTTAGAACCATTGAGGAGGAAACATCCCAAACTCTGCACGGCCCACCACTTCCCAGAGAGACGAGCAGTTTACCGTCAGAGCTGCAAGACAATGAAAACAGACTATAAGGGAAATCCTCATCAAAAATAAAATGGGTAAACACTAAACAGAACTTCTCTTTTCTTTCTTTCAAAAACATTTTCCTTTTTTCTTTTGTAGTATTCAATTAAAAACTAAAATCTCCATAATATTGCTAAACAACAAACCTGAAATGTAAGTCTTTTACTGTCGAATAAGCTTTAGTCTCATTGAGAATAATTTCCATACTAGGCCACTTGAAAACCCTCAGATTGCCGTCCTGCACCACACCAAAATCAGAAAATCAAATAGCATCCCGCTCCTTTATCAAAATCAGAACATTCTTGCTCATACGGCATCTAAAGATAAGGAAGCACCCTGAAACCACAAGCATTCAGCTCCAACTAAGGGCTTCTTTGAAATGGTTTAAAAGCGGTTTTCCAATCATAATTTACAAAATATGAGGTGAATATACAAGAGAAGTTTTGTCCCAACTTACGTAAAATATGCTTATAAGCACTTAAATATGCATATCCAAACGAGCTATAAATCTTCCACATCCCAAATCAATACAAAACTTTCATGTTGTTACAAAGTTCTACCCTCCTGTGTTCTATTTCGACCAATTCCAAACAAAATTACAAAGTCATTCTTATACATTTTGTAATAAATTTAAACTTGTTTAACGATTCATAGAAATGAGAGAATATAATACTACTTTTTTTTTTTTTTTCAATACAAGATATTGATATCGCAAATGTTAGCAAAGCCTTTTTAACCAGGTGTTCAAGGCTCAAGAGCTTTGTATGAACTTCATTCTCCTAATTAAACTCAATTTTAGGCATGGGACATGGTAGACATGTGCCATATACTCTATACCTAATAGGTTTGCATGTCAAACAATATAGAAAACCATCATAGCCTTCTCTTAGCTCTAAGCTTGTGAGACAAAATCTTTCTCCACATATATATTGCTATACTAAAGAAGAAAACACAAAGCATACGGTTCCTATGCATCCATTTTGGTTGGATTTTCAATGAATACACTTCTGTTTAATCTTGAACGCATGCTTCCAACTCGCGAATTGCTAAGCATATCATCATGAGATTCACCAATAAGTGGCAAATAATTCATAATATAAAACATGACATCCATATCTTCATAGTATAAATAAAATACTCGAGACTGTAAATCTAACATCAGAGTTAGAAACATGACATATGGATTGACAATTTATCAAGTAAGGTAGAAGTCATCCAAACTTCTTCAAAAATCTACAATAAACATTAAATTAATTTTTCCTTTCCATCTTTCTTTGTTCTTTTTCCTTTTCTTTTTATTCTCTTTCTTTTTTTCCTTTCTTTTGTGGTGGAGGGGGAGAAATGTTGAAGAATTTTATCCACTTCCTTTTTAGATGACGACACCACATTGGCATTGCTTCGTCTTGGGGGAAATATTGATTAAAATTTCTAGCATTAAATGCCATTATTAATTGACTGTGAAGAGTATGGATCTACACACCATGATAAATTTGCACATTGAATAGAATAAGAATAGCAGTAAAGGGATATTAGTTGAGATGCTTCAGCACAGCCTCTATTTCTTTCATGCTACACAAGATTTTCTTGGTTATAAGCAGTATCATTATCATAATAAAAATGTTACTAATTACTTTACCTACCTCCCCACCAACAGCTAGCATAGTGCCATCATTGTCAAATGCCAGGGCTAACTGCTGCCCAACATCCTCCAACTCACTGAGTACTTTATCAGAAACCTTCAGACCTAACTTATGACTTTCAGCACTCTTGTTTTGGTTCCATTCAAACCATCTGCATGAACAATTCAGAATTTCATGTTACAATGTTTCAAAGGTGGAGATAATGAAGCTCCACTGATGTAGTACAAGTTAGTATCTTGCCTAGTGTGTATTAAGATTAAACTTCCAGTTGTACCACAACAACTCCTCAATGTATTATGATACAAACAAATACCTTTAAGAAAGGAAACAACCTAAGGAAACAAGGAAAAAATGAGAAGCAAAATACCTGCAACTCTTTGGCATGGCACAAATAAGGCCATCTCCACCGGGGTGAAGTGCCATTCTATAAGGCAACTCAGAATCAGTCCCAAGCCTGCCCACCTGTAATATTGATGAAATTACGCAAACAATGGCGGAATAAGACAAATAAGAGCTACACATTTTAATGATATCTTTCTACAATTTTAAATTTTAATTACAAAAATTACTAAACCATTTGATGTTGAATAATTTTCTTAAACAGTTCACATCAAAATGCAGTAAAACGTAAGAATCCAAGCACTCTAGACAACTCGATTTTACAATACACGGGCGGGGAGAAAAAGAAAAGAAAAGCAGCCCAATCAGCTTTCACGACCACACCGCTAAGACGAGCCTAAATTCATGTAGTTGTGATAAAAACACGCATGAATCAGTTTTGCACCTCAGAACAAAAATTGCAGATTACTCAAATCTGATTCCTCTAGTTTCAAATCCTAAAACAATGGCTAAATCAAATCCATGAGAATTTAGGATCAAGAAAGCAAGAGCGAAACATACTAGCTGATCAGACAGAGAATTAGATGCGACATCAAAATGTGCAAGCAACACAGCATTGGGGATGCCGCTGCTGCCTTCACCACCACCACCAGTGATCGCAAGGCAGTGCTCGCCGAACTGCTCGGGTGGCTGAGGCGGGGAGCTGTCGGTGTTGTCAGAGGCTTCACCAATGGTTTGATTCGCCACTGATTTGATAACATTTGGTGGGATCCATGCGACTGAATAGGAAGGAACGCCGTACTTCTTTAAGTTTGGAGGATCTGCTCCAGCACTTCCCACCATCGGGTTTCTCGGAGCTATGCACTTCTGACTCTGGGCGTCTGGCTTCCCCCTCCGGTGCGCTTATCGTCTGCTGCAGTGCTGCCCTCCGCTACCTTTATACGGCACCGTTTGCAGCAGAATCAGAAGGGAGCAACAATACATTAGAATCCTCACCATTTTACAAAGCCAGGAGTCATTAATATTTTTCAATAAAAAATAAATTATTTAAAAGAAAACTTTGAAAAAAATATTATATGTAAAAAGAATAATACTACCTCCGGTTCTTAATATAAAACCCTCTTTGACTTTTATTTTAATCCTAAATATAAAACCTCAATCCACTTTATCTTTTATATTTATACATTTTTTTCTAAAGTAGCCTTTTTAACAATGATAGTTCCAGTCAATACACTTGATTAGCAAGGATATTTTAGGAAAGACAACACCTATTTAAGACAAATAAATAAGTCAACTTACTTCCTTAATCTCTTCAAATTAGTCAACTGGTTCTTATAATTAGGACCGGAGGTAGTAATAATTTTTCAAAAAAAAACTAGTCATAACTTTAAAAGCTATTTAATCTTAAACTTTGAGATGGTTCATAGTTTTTTGTCATAATTTTCTCTTTTTCTTATATATTTATTTAATTAATGGTAAAATATATATATTTAATTGATTTTTAAAAAAAAAACATTTTGACAGCAGGTGGTCCCCAAAAAAGCATCAACAAGCATTTTCTCCTCTCTTTCTCCCTCTCTTTTAACATTTTGAGAATGTTTAGGTGAAAATAAAACTATAATTTTAAAAATAATTTTATGATATATAAAATAAATATATAAGAGAGTTTATCTAGATTTATTAAAAAAATAATTTTCAACTAATCCAAGCATTTTTTTTGCCTTTATCCATTTATCACATCTTTTTTTTATTTTTTACCTGACATTTATCACATCCCGCTTCTGACTGTTCTTACTTCTTTCGCATACAAGTGTCCGCCTGATTTTAGCATAATCCCGTTGGGCGGTAAACGAATCCTGTACGGTCCGCCCCTCAATGTTCCTCTGGGTTCATCTAACTTCCGACAGGTAAGTTTAACAGTGTGCTTCTTGAACAATGGAAATTTTCAATGCCCTGCGTGCTATAGATTTGGTCTCGTGGTGACGTTAATTTAATGTTTCAAAGTTCTCATCTCTTTTACGAAGGAGAACTCTTGGGCAAGACTTGTATGGCAACAATATGACTGGCTCAAGTTTGAGAGTAGTGTTTCGCCTCCAAATTGCTGACCTCTATTTGGATTTTTTTTTGGGTTACTGTTTACTTTTTTGTTCTTATAGGGATGGACCGGCCTGTCAATTTGGTAAATTCGGACATTGCCTAGATTGTCTATATTTGACATGTCTAGCTGCCACTAACGGGAGTTGGGCATAATGGAAAGGACTAGTCCCTCACAATATGACGAACTAAGGTTTAAATTCCCGCTAGGAGAGGTGCCCACATTCAGTGACTGATAGTGTCTCGAATAAGATTGCCTTTAATAGGAGGATATCTGTGTTTTAGGGAAAAAAAAAAAAGACATGCCTAGTTGCCTTTGTAATTTTAAAAAAAATAAATTGACCTTTTATTAAAAAAAATATATTGGCATTACTTGTGCAACGTGGCATTTTATTTATGCAAGAAGCATCCCAGCAAATGAATACCCATAAATCTCCTTCACTTCACTCCAATGTGTGACCAGGACTATGAGTGTTTTGAATTATAGCTGCTGTAAATAAATCGACACAATCGTTGTAAATAAATCGGCACAACATTTGAATGAAAAAGACATAATGTGTTATGAATCCAAAGTATTAAAGGTATTTTATGTGGATGTCCATCTCCCATGTCTCTTCCTCTCCATTTGGATGTGAAGAAAAGGAAAGAGAAGTTGAGATGGAAGAAAATAAAAGAAAAGGAGATAGAATGAAGAGAAAATTGGGAAGAAAATGCTATTAGCCTCCTGTTTGGACACACAATAAAATCAGAGAAGAGAACATAAATAAATATATTAATCACTAAAATACCTCTATTTCTATTGGAATTATAAAGCGTACCAAAAGAAGTCTTGCATTGTTCGAGATTGATAAAACATAGTCCTTAATATAAGACATATTTAATTAATTTGATTAGATTAAGAAAGTTAGATAATTTAGGAGAAATTACCTAATATTCTTTCTTAATATTCTTCCTCTCTCTTTTACCTGATTATACTTGAGGGAGTATCAATAGAGATAATTTAGGAGAAATTGATAAATATGAGAAATATGTCTTTTATTTAGAACTAAAATTAACTCAAAAATTAAGTTCTATATTAAGGACCTGGAGGAGTATATACCAAAATGTGAGTTTGGGCTAATAAAAGAGCTGAAAAGAGTTTTTGAGACTAATCATTGAAGAGTTCAATTGTTTTAATTAGCCAATTTCAATTTTTTCATTATCCTCATTGAATCACAACAAATCACCATGATTATCAACAACAATGATAAAATTTTATCCCATTAGATTGGATTGACTACGGGGATGGTATGGCATCATTAAGTTTATCAGTAACCAAATCTTTAGATAGATTGTTAACCAAAAAATATCGTTAAACAACTTCATTGAATATCTTTTTAGTTTTCTTTACCTCTTTTCAAAGAACCTATTGTTTAATCAACTCTCTTCAGCAACGTATCAAACGGTGTTCTTTGAATTTGTTGCTCCTCTTTTTTGGCGATGCGAACCTCCCATTTTCTTTTACTAAAATCGAACCCATACTCATCATCTTCTCCATTCTCATCATTCTTCTACCTCATCATCCTCTTCTTCTCCTCTCCTTCTTTCGACAATGCAAACCTCCTTATCCTCTTATGCTAAAACTGAACCCATATCCAACCATGCAAAACTATTAGGTAATGTTAAACTAGAGATGATAACGTTCTTATCAACCACAGTGGGTGTTGCTATCTCTATACAACATCATCAATCAAAGATGTGAGTCTTCCATCACGAGTTTGAAGTCGAGCTATCTCTTTAATTTTATCGTGATCAAGTCTAATCTAGTTCGACGAGTGTTAGCCATGTATTTCTTATTTGATTTATACCCCTCCTTCATTATTGTTGATGGGTGATGGTCGCTAATAGTGGCTTTTTGTGAAGGCTTGTGATGATTTGTAGGCGGCTGTGACTTGTTTAAGTCGAGGTTAGGATTTTTAGGGAAGGACATATAGGTCATTTCATATTAAAACTTAGCATATTGACCAAAAATTAGGTCATACTTCCATCTCACACGAAACACACTTTCACTTCTATTTCCACCTTTATTTTCACTTTCAAATTTCATTTCCACTATAAAATCCTTTGTTGGCTGTTAAAAACAAGGAGAAAAAACCGGGCTTGACCGGCCGGTTCAACCAAAAAACTAGTGAACCGGTCGCCAATCTGGTCTGGTTTGAAGAAAAAACAAGAGCCGCTGTGAACCAGTGGGGAACCGATCCAACAGGTAATAATCGATTGGGCGGTTCACCTGGTTTATTTGTGTTGGTTGCCCAGCCCACACAAAATGACATTGTTTAGCATTAAAGGAAAAAAAAAAAAAAACTCTTTCTCCCTCCCTCATTCAACCCGCTGTCTTGAGCCTTCAATCCTCCTCCCCCATTTCTAAAAATCGAAATCCTCTCCCCCCAAATCACCAAGATCTCTTCCACTTTCTCCCAATCCTAGACTCTTGCTGTGAACCCCAACAAAATCCATAGCGTCACCTCATCATTGACAGTGGCACTCCCTCCTTCGTGGCTCCGTTTGCCACTCACATTGCTTTGCCTTCGCTGTTCACCTTCACAGCTCACATCGTTAGTCTCGAGTCTCCATAGTCCATCCTCTCCTCGTTGACGTCCTGCTTCACCTTGAATTGTAGCCTTTTGGGTAAGCTCAACACCTTTTTTTTTTTTTAAGCTGGGTTGTTTTTTAAGATCAAAGAACTGCTTCTCTCTAGGCTGTTGTGAGATTTGAGAAGGGAGGAGAGTGTGTTGCTAAAGTAATCGAATAAATTAAGATATTGTTGCTGAAGTAAATCAAGAGTGTTGTTCCTAAAACAAATCAAATAATATAGTTGTTGATTGACTTAATCCTTTAAATTAATTTTTTACAGAGGAGAAGGTATCATCTACGTTATAATTTTGATTATACTGTGAGCTTGCATTATGTAGATTTTACTAATTTTGATTATGCTGTTGATTCCTTTGTATTATGCTATTGATTTGATTCCTTTAGATCAATTTTGTAAAGAGGAGAAGGCCACAGTATTCATCCCAAGGGTTATGCTTTTGTAAGTTCTTATATTTCCTTCAGTGATTATTACTTATGAATTTTGTTCCATTTGAATGTTGTGAATTAAATTTTAGGAAAAATGGCAAATAAAGACCCTTGAATATATGAAATGGCAAAATGGGTTCTTGAATTTATTTAATTTCTGTCAAGGACCCGATCTCAAATAGAAATTATGAAATGTTGGTCAAAAGTCATAAATGCCCTTCTGCTTCTCATATCATCTTCCTGTATCCGTTTCTCAATCTCTCTCGTCATCTCCATTTTCATTTGCTCCATCCTCCCAAACTCATCTCTTAAAACTTTAATTGCACTCATCATCCCTTCCACTGGATTCCTCTCTCTCTATCACCCCAATCTTCCCCAATCTGGTTCTATGTTTCAAATTTGTCTTCACCATCATGGGCAAGAGAGATAGAGCACCATTGACAGAACTAAAGGATGCGACTAGATGTAAGAAGAAAGAGGGGCTAACCCTTCTTCTTCATCCTTCGAAGGCGAGAGTTGGAATGAGCAAAGGGGAGAAGGACGCCATTATCACTATTCATCTCCACCTTCAACGCAGAACCAGAGAGGATGCTGTGGAAGCTGGATCATGAAAATAAGATCGATGAAACTAATAAGTAATGTTAATCAGCTCGATGTTGTGATAATGCAGAGCTATTTAATGACACTTAATCAAAAACATGGTAACAACAATGCAGTGATAGAAACACAGAAATTCTGTCATCTGAACAGAAAAAATTAAATTGTATTAATTGCTTATCAGAGGTTGTCATTTACCGTACAAAACTTGTCATTGGCCTTACTAAAGTTGTCATTAATTGTTTATCAGAACTGGTTACTGTCAAAGAAATTTGCAAATTCTCATTTCAATAGGGAAATTTAAAATTGTATGAAAACTTTATCAGAACTTGTCATTGGTCTTAACTTGTTATTGGCCAAACTGAACTTATCATGAATCCTATATCAGAAATGCTTGCTGTCAAGAATTCTCATTTCAACATAAAAAATTAAAATTGTATGAAAACTTTATCGGAACTTGTCATTGGTCTTCCTTAACTTGTCATCGGTCAAACTAAATTTGTCATGAATCCTATATCAGAAGTGCTTGCTGTCAAGAATTCTCATTTCAACAGAAAAATTTAAAATTGTATGGAAACCTTATCAGAACTTGTCATTGGCCAAACTGAACTTGTCATGAATCCTATGTCAGAAGTGCTTGCTAACAAGAATTCTCATTTTAACAGAAAAATTTAAAATTGTATGAAAATCTTATCGAAACTTGTCATTAGTCTTCCTTAACTTGTCATTGGTCAAACTGAACTTGCCATGAATCCTATATCAGAAGTGCTTGCTGTCAAGAATTCTCATTTCAACAGAAAAATTTAAAATTGTATAAAAACCTTATCAGAACTTGTCATTGGTCCGTACAATTTTAAATTTTTTGTTGAAATGAGAATTCTTGACAGCAAGCACTTCTAATATAGGATTCATGACAAGTTCAGTTTGACCAATGACAAGTTAAGGAAGACTAATGACAAGTTCCGATAAGGTTTTCATACAATTTTAAATTTTTCTGTTGAAATGAGAATTCTTGACAGCAAGCATTTCTGATATAGGATTCATGATAAATTCAGTTTGGCCAATGACAAGTTAAGACCAATGACAATTTCTGATAAAGTTTTCATACAATTTAAATTTCTCTATTGAAATGACAATTTGCAAATTTTTTGACAGCAACCAGTTCTGATAAACAATTAATGACAACTTTAGTAAGGCCAATGACAGGTTTTGTATGGCGAATGACAACCTCTGATAAGCAATTAATACAATTTAATTTTTTCTGTTCAAATGACAGAATTTTTGTGTTTCTATCACTGCATTGTTGTTACCACGTTTTTGATTAAGTGTACAACATTAAATAGCTCCACATTTTTACAACATGGAGCTTATTAACATTGCTTATTAGTTTCATCGATCTTATTTTCATGATCCAGCTTCCACAGCATCCTCTCTGGTTCTGCGTTGAAGGTGGAGATGAACAATGATAATGGTGTCCTTCTCCCCTTCGCTCATTCCAACTCTCTTTCTTTTTACATCCAGTCGCATCCTTTAGTTCTGTCAATGGTGCTCTATCTCTCTTGCCCATGATGGTGAAGACAAATTTGAAACAGAACCAGATTGGGGAAGATTGGGGGGTAGAGAGAGAGGAATCTAGTGGAAGAGATTATGAGTGCAATTAAAGTTTTAAGAGATGAGTTTGGGAGGATGGATCAAATGAAAATGGAGATGACGAGAGAGATTGAGAAACGGATACAGGAAGATGATATGAGAAGCAGAAGGGCATTTATGACTTTTGACCAAATTTTGTAATTTCTATTTGAGACCGGATCCTTGACATAAATTAAATAAATTCAAGAACCCATTTTGCCGTTTCATATATTCAAGGGTCTTTATTTGCCATTGTCCCTAAATTTTATTATTTTATTATGATCGGTTTGATTCCAGTTGGATCATAGTCTGACCAGTAACCCAAAACTCACTATCTTGACACCGGTCCCGTTTTTGCTTCTTGGTTAAAAAGAACTCTTTTATTGTACCAAACGGGCATCAGCCGGGGACATGCAACCAAAAAAAGGCCGTTTGGCCAGTTTGCCTGTTTGGCGCGCCCGCTTGTGGTGTGGCGGTCAATTACCCTAATAGGCTAATATGCATATGCCCCACGCCAACATTGCTTCCTCCCTTTCTCGTGCTCCTCTCTCCTCTTCTCCTCTTCTCATAAACACGGAAAAGGAGGCAGGCGATCACATTCCATAGCAATCACTCTCCCCTTTCTATAATTTTCTGTTCGATTTCCCTTTTCCTTCTATATCGACTGAAACCCTCAATTGCTTCGTCTTCCATCCCATGGGAACCCCAGAGACTTCTCGCGAACCCTGCCCCGATCGCATTCTCGATGACATCGGCGGCGCATTCGGCATGGGAGCTGTTGGCGGCTCCGCCTTCCATTTCCTCAAAGGTCTCTACAACTCTCCCAAGGGTTCTCGGCTTGTCGGCGGCTCGCAAGCTGTTCGCCTCAACGCACCTCGTGTTGGCGGCAGTTTCGCTGTGTGGGGTGGCTTGTTTTCCACGTTCGACTGTACCATGGTTTACTTGCGTCAGAAGGAGGATCCGTGGAACTCCATCATCGCCGGGGCTGCCACTGGCGGCTTCCTCTCCATGCGCCAAGGGCTTGGAGCTTCGGCTCGATCTGCGGCTTTTGGTGGCGTCTTGTTGGCTATGATTGAAGGAGCAGGGATCATGCTCAACAAGTTCCTCAGTGCACAGCAACAGATGCCTATAATAATCGATGAACCCATGCCTGCTGGATACCCTGTTAATGGATTACCTGGCCAAAGCTTGCCTCAAGGGGTAATGCAGCCCTCAAATGTGCCTTCTGATTCGGGTTCGGATTCGGGCAAATCTTGGTTTGGCGGGTGGTTTGGTGGAGACAAAAAGGATGAGCCTCCTACGCGTGGAGGAAGCGAGACCAAAGTTTTGGAGAGTTTTGACGCGCCGCCAGTGCCGAACTTTGAATACAAGTGAGGTGGTTATTCAGGCAGTGTTTTGTGGCTAGTGAGTATTTAGGAGTAATTGCATATGTTGCAGGTGTTTCGTTTTGAACTTTGCCCAGGAATTTGATTGTAGTCACTTAAATCTACGGCTTTGTAATATAGTGGTAATTTTGGAACTCTTTGTGTGTTAGGCTCCACATTTTTGTCCAAAATTGATTATTTCCCAATTGAAATTTCGGCATGCTTCCAGTTATATATCATCATTTGATCGCAGATCACCTTTTCCTGGAAAAACTATATGCTTGCAGGTTTATAAGTAGTTCAGCGTCAGTATGTGAAATTGTTGGTGTTGTTTTCTGTAACCCCCAGTACCAAGAGGAGGGACGGGGCAGGGCATTTGTTTTGGGTACGAAATGTCACGGGTTGACAACCTGACATCCTTATCCCTAAGTATTACGTATGAAGCTCTCCGGAAAAATGGTGGTTCAATAAGAGATCTTTTTCCCTTTCTGGAAGATACTGGAGCGCATGATTGAAATTGATCAGCTGAAATTGATTATTGGTAAGAGTACATGTGACCTTCCGGCAAACCTGTTGGAGGCTAATGCTTGGTGTCATACATATCCTTGCATGCTGTAAATGTATTGCTTTTTTGAAGTCTTCTGCGTTTAATGTGTTGTATGTTTAAATAATTACAGTATTTGAATGTATTATTTGGTGGGTATTACTAGGCCACAGCTATTTGCCTAAGAAACATCGTCAAATCCTCTGATACTGCCATAAGCATTATCTAGCTAAGCACTGATCACTGACGATTATTAGATTTTTTAATGATTTAGTCAGTTAACTAGGTCAGTGCAGGTACATGTCTAAATCACTTATACTTTACATCCTAGATCCTAATAATAATAAGTGATGATTGGCTTTGGACTTAGTATATCTCTAGGAGGAGCAAGCAAGAACTTCGGCGTTAACCTTGCGTCTCTAGTTGTCTTTTAGGTTTACTTGTAATGTAATTCTTTCTCAATTCTAACATGTGACGTAAAGTGATCATAAGTCGTTGTTATGTAATGTTTTCAAGCAGCTAAAAGTTTATGTGTGCTGAAGAGAGAGCATAAGTATCTGGATTAGGGGTTTCATCATGGATTCTGCTGCCGCAGTTTTCATTTTTCTGAGCGGTTCCTCTATTCTTTTATTTACTTCATCTTATGGCCTCTAATATCTATTCCCTTTAACTTAGATGTTGGGATTTAGTTCTTTAGATGCTCAAAATTGATGGTGATGGGCGTGTTGATCAGAGTTATCTTGTTTTACCATTCGCTTAAGATTCGCTTGTGCAGAAATGTCTGAAGGAAAGAAGTAAAAGATGCACCTACATGGAAACATGCTAGTTTATAGAAGACTTTATTTCTGAATTTATATCTTGTTATTTTATACGTCATCGCATCTTACTTTATACATATCCATTTGACTTCTCTGATTTCTTACCCTTGATTGTGTTGCTGTGGATTTCGCCGCAATGGCCTTTAATTGTTTGCAGTTGCCGGGTGGCGGGTCCTCTATTTGTTCTTTCCTTCAAAGACTCCACTTATATTGTAGCAATACACTTCTAGGTGCAAGAGTCGACTCTCAGGTCGAGTTATACTATTGCTTTTCTTCTCATTACTCTGCATGCTTCAAATTATTATTTTGACAAAGCATTAACCTTCTAGTGCTACTTAGTATTGAGAATTAAAAATTATATAGTAGTGGAGGATTTGAAATCATCTGTATTTGTTTCGTTCGACTTCGTTATTTAACCCGAAACGTCCTTGTCTTTTTAGGGGTGCAACTATGTGTGCCGCTAGTCGTAGGGAATGTTTTGTTTCTTATTTGAGGGAACAACCCTTGAGGATCCATGAGATGTGATATTGACAATAAAATGTCACGTTTCTAAGCATTATGAATTATCAATCTTATCCAACGAGAATAAATGAGGAAAAGTGTAGGAAACCAAAAGAGTACTTAAGAATTTAGGCTTTTGTTTATATTTTATTGTCTGTTTTTCATTTGGTTAACAGCAGTTGGCCTTTTTCACTCTAAGTCAAATGATAATCCGACTCTCTTTTCTTTTCGGTGTTATTTTTTAAGATCTTCCTGAAAAACTCATCCGTTTGTATGTTATTAATTATAGTTATTTTTTCCCTTTATGGTTTTCTTTATTTATGCTGATAAGAGTGATCACGTCTTAAAGTTTGATTATGATCAGAATGATTTACCCCTGATTCATCCAAAAGAGAGCCAACAAGACCATATAAAATCGTATAGCTAAATGATAACTAGCATTATATTGCAAAGGAAGCTAATTATTTTTCGTTAATCATATTAAAATAAATTTTGTACCTATTTCTAAGAAATAACTTATATTTAAAAGTAGTTAGCACAAATTTTTTTTTATAATTTTCAAAAGTAAACTATAAGTTGTTTCTTGTATTTATTTTGTGCGAATTATGTACGAGTGTTCCGTGTAAGTGTCCATTTTTCTTTTAGTTTCTTTCCGGGGAGATTAATCGTTGAATGTAGAGATCGATTTGAAGGATGTTGTACTACCTCTGGTCAATAAGTAATATAAGAGTTATTTTTTACTTTTGATTTGGTCATAAATATAAGATCCCAATCCTCTTTACTTTTTATATTTATCTACTCTTTTGGTCCTTAATATAAGACATATTTAACTAATTTGATTAAATTAAGGAAGTTAGGTAAGTTAGTTAATTATAAGAAATATGACATGTTTTTCTTAAAACACTATAATCATTTTTCTTAATATCTTCTTTCCCTCTTCTACTTGATTATGGTTGAGGAAGTATCTATAGAGGTAATTTAAAGACCATAATCAAGTAAAAGAGGAAGGGAGAATATTAAGGAAGATGATTATAGTGTTTTAAAAAAAATATATCATATTTTTTATAATTAACTAACTTATCTAATTTTTTTAATATAATAAAATTAGTTAAATAGATTTTATATTAAAAATAATAGGAGTATTAAATTATTTGAAGTTTAAAAGGGTCATCCGGAGACCTTCGCCTTCCCTCAGAAAGCAGGCGGATGAGTTTGATGCTAGTGGAGACTTTGGCTATGGTTTCTGAAATAGTCTGATGGTAGGATCCCACTTCTTTGCCGTTTTGATTCTCTTTTACGGTTGGTTTGTTATCTGAACTTTATGTTCTTTCTGTACTTCTTCTCCCCTTTTGCAGTTAACGTTTCATCTTTCTGCCGGGGGAAAAAATATTTACATGTCACTCCCTCATGTCTTTAATATAAGAGCTGATAAATCTTTGTAATAGTTAAATATATTAAAAAATTTATCGAATTATGGTTTTAATAATACATACGATTAGTAAAAATATTTTTTAAAAAATAACACTTACTTTATTATAAATAACTAACTTAACTAGTTTTCTTAATCTATTTAAATTAATCAACTAGCTTTTATATTAAAGATTCGGGATAGCACATAGATATATGATACTCCTTCTACTCCTTAATATAAAACCTAATTAATTAATTTAAGATAAATTAATAAAGTCAAATAAATTAGTTAATTATAATAAATATGATATGATTTTTTAAAATATCAGATTATATCTTAGTCTCTGAGTTAAGTAAATTAATTGAAAGAAAAATATTTATTTCAATTCTTATTATAAATCTCAAACAATTAATTTATATATAACAAAAAATTAATTAAAAGTAATAAATATACTAGAAAATATATATTAATTATGAACAAACAAGGGGTTGGTGAAGACGGTGAATGCGTACTTTAGTTTATTTGAAATAAATTTATATTGGATTAAATACTTGGAAAAAATTTTATTTCGCGAAGAAATGATTACAAACACTCTAGAAATCAAAATGATGGTGAAGTCAGATCCTGCGCCGCCTCTGGAGGGTGGCTTTCGCTGTCTGTCTCCTTCTTCCTTCCATTTTTTGTGCCCTCGGAAGATTTCTCCAGAAGCGGTCATTTTCACTGCTTCATCGGGCCTGTGAATTTGAAGTTATTTTCAGGTAAATATGAACACGTTGAAAACACACGGTGAATAAACTTGCGCAACAAGATGGTTTGCCGCCATACAAGCTTTTCATCTTGATGTGGTTCATCCGTAACCGATGATTCCTTGGGTGAAAACGACAGCGTTAGGTGAAGTCTCTGTTTCACCATGTAAAACACATAACTGGTTTGGATTGACTTACAAAATTTTGACCACGTATTTATTTTATATTTTTTAAATTATGATTGAAAAACTATTTAAGATTCATTTGAAATGACTTATAAATAATTTTTTAATTGTGGTTTATAAAATACGATGTGTGTATATGAGATGAGTTTTACCTCGATTCACATAAAACGTATTTATAAATGTTTTTGAATATGATTTCAACCAGACACTTATAAGCCATTACAAATGACCCTAAACTCTGGTATGGATTTGAGTAAAAATTTTAAAATAAAGGAAAAAAGGTTGCAAAATTAACAAGAAAACTAGCAAATTAGGCAGCATTTGGTACATTGCAAATTTCTTAAAAACATGTCTTTAATATAGTTTTAAAAAAATGATTATTACTCTTCCGATTCTTAATATAGGACTCAATTGTTAATTTGGTTTTGGTTCTAAATATAAGTCTCATTTTTCATATTTATCATTTTTTTCTAAATTACCATATGGATACTCCTTCAACTATAATCAAGTAGAAGAAGGAGATGAGGTATTATTAAGAAAGATGATTATGGTGTTTTAGGAAAAATGTGTTACTTTTCTTAAATTAACTAACTTACCTAATCTTTTTAACCTAATCAAATTAGTTAAATGAGTCTTATATTAAAAATCAGAGGAGTATCTCTGGTTCTAAGATCTTATTTGAAAATTATAAATGAGTTCTCATCATGCCCAGCCGCACAAGTATTATAATTGTTGCTCCTTCTAGAGTTTTAGTTGTGAATTCCACGTAGGGCCCAGAAAAACCTGCCAAGCTAGCCAACTGGCGAACCGAACCCATTTCCGTCTCCGTCATGGGCCAAAGCACGTGCACGCTCTTCTCCTCCAGCTCGCTCTCTCTCTTACTCTCTCTGTCCTAGCGCAAAGTTCTCTCTCCTTCCTCGTCATTCATCCCAATTGCCCCCTACAAAAGTTGCCATTTTGTCTGTCTGGTTGTCTCCTTCTCACTCCCTCTGGATTTTTCTTAAATCTTCAGAGAGGTTCTGGGCGATGATGGATGCGTCTTCGTACATGCACTGGTTGTGAGTTCCTGTGATGTAGATAGTTTGATCCCAAATGCACCCCCTCAATCGGCTACCCAGCAGTGGCCACTCCACTCCGTCGTCGCCTCAGTCGCCGCTCCGGTCTCCCAGGCTACGTCGCGGTCAGTCCAAGACCCGACGGTTCTCTCCCGTTCAGCCGGCTGGTAGGACTGCTGCCCAGCGACTCTCTTGGCTCTTTCTTTCCTTCCTACTTCGGCGCCAGGGCCTCTTCCTTTTTGCTCCTCTTATTTACATCTCCGGCATGCTCCTCTACATGGGCACAGCCTCGTTCGACGTCGTTCCGGTCATCAAGCACCGCCCTGCTCCTGGGTCTGTGTACCGGAGCCCACAGCTGTATGCGAAGCTGCGCCTTGAGATGGATGCTGATAATTCCTCTGTTGATGCGGTTGGTATTGTGGCAGATTTGCTTGGTTGCATTTCTCTTTTCAAATGGCTCTGAATTCTAACTCAGAAGTAGTATTTGTTTTGATACTTCAATTTTTGAATTTCGATCACTTTCTGTAGTCCAATTTGGGTTTCTTTTCTTTCTTTCCTTTACTCTGGTTTCTTTTGAATTCTGAAGATTCATGGGGCTTTCTTGTGATTCTGTCGATCTACTGATTCGGATCTCATTACATGTATTGCATTGTCCCAGCTTGTTCGGAAAGTTTATGAATTAAGAATGGAAAGGCTTGCAATATACTCTAGTTTTGCATCTTTTTATATTTCAAATGTTTGTATTTAAACTTAGCTTTAATCTTGCGATGCATCTGGACTTTTACATAATGTTGACGTATTTTTTATTCGACTCTTGCTGATTTACTTAAGGAAGAGCAATTTTTTACCTCTTTGATGCATTTCTAGACAACTTCGTTCAGTCTGAATCCATTTGCTAGACATCTGACGGAAGCAAAATGACCAGTCGATTTGACCGTTGAGCTTGAGCTGGATAATAACATATTTCTGATCGAGGAAAATGATGTCATCTCGCTTCCAATGGAAAAAGTGTTTACAAAGTGAAATGGATTACTGTGAGGTGTTGTAGCCCTTGCTACTCGTATTTGGTGTAATGGGGATCCAAATTAATAAGTGACAATTATTTTTGGTATTGTGTATTGTCCAGCTTGTTGTTGGAGGAAGTGGCACATCAAAAAGATTGTACAGTTTAGTTGGGAAGTGGCAATATTCTGGTTGCTGCTTTGTCGTGAGCTTACTTGCTAATCCCTTTGCCCTTCTAACAAGGATTCCCTTGAGGCATGGAGAGTTGATGTCATTGTAATATTAGTGAAATGAAGAAACAGAACCTCTCTTTGATAATAAGAACATATTGAAAACTCAGGATATCTCTTTTTAGCTGTTAAGAACGCAGGACCTATATTTTCACTTCGAAAATGTTTCATGTGTGATATCACACATTTTCACTGCGTTGGTTTACGTACTTAAAGTTGATTCACACTTCTGACATCTGAACATTCAGGACTACATTGTTTATGTGCTCATGTAAGGGTACTATGATTTTTGGTAACTGTCATCCTCTGGCTACATAGGTTTTATCATCTGTTCGACTTTCTTTTCTTACTCTCTTAGATCTATATCCTACATATAATATAAAATCTCTTGGAAGTCGTACTATTCATAAAATATGAATAGTACAACTCATCTCAGATTGCATGAAAAGCATGGGCCCACAATCTAATTTTCAGTTAAATTCATATTTATTACTGTTGTTAATACTCTTCATGCTTCTGAGCACCACTTTGCTTTCCTGTCATATTTGTCATGTTTCTTGACATAGGTGGTTTAATTTATTTCAGATATCAACAATATGGAAGAATTCCTACAAAGGTGGTTTGTGGAAGCCATGTGTCAACAAATCTTCAGAAGGTACAGTATAATATAATTTGAATTGATACGCAGCTGGACTTTGTGGCATACTAGTGTCAGCAACTGTTTTCTCGTCTGGAAATGGTGGGGGCTTGGGGACATATGCTGTTTCTTGTTAGCTTTGTTGCTTTGTCTTAGTCAAACAAGATGCAGTGATTACACAAATACGGGTTCAAATAAAATCTAAGCTTGTCTGTTTATTTTATCTTGGAGTGCATGAAGCAGCTTCGTGTTGCTAATTCCCTTGTTGCATTCCTCTCTTGCTTCTTTTTGCATGGAAGGTAGTATTACACTGGGTGCCTTTTAACATTTTTCCTTTTTCCTGATGGCCCTGTGCTCGAGAAACATGATACTTGTGCCCCGTTGGACGACGAGGGGAGTATGATGCAACAAACAAATAAGGAGCTGATGATTTTAGCATTCATTGTCTTTGATGACCTAGAATCCTATTCTACCCCATTTTATCTTTTTAGGCTATCTTGATTTTTATCTGCACCAGTTTCCTCCTGCTAATTGGATCATCAATTATTTCATACGGTGGATTGCTTTTGAATAATACACCCCTCATAGATCAAGTTTTAGTATTTATGTTTTTAATATTAGAAAGTATGAGTATATACTCTGCCAACATTTGGTGGTTTTTGAACTTGGTTTACATTTCCCATATCGTTGATAGGCCTCCCAGAATCAAATGGTATCATATATATAGAGGCCAATGGTGGCTTGAATCAACAAAGGACATCGGTCAGTTTCATTTTTCTGTGCGTCTCTTGTTTCATACATAAATAGTTACTGTAGTTTGCCCTGAAGATTGCTTGAGATAGCACTACTCTTGACTGTTATTTTCATGAATGTTGTCAATGCTTCATAGATATGCAATGCTGTTGCAGTGGCTGGCTATCTGAATGCTACACTTCTGATCCCAAACTTCCACTATCACAGCATATGGAAAGATCCTAGGTTTGTCTTCTTTTCCATCTTTCAATTTTGTTTTATTTTTGGACTAGAAAGTCTAGAAATTGACGCTGGCATAGCTATTCACCAATATTACTTTTGAAAACAATGGTTTTTTGTGTGTTATACTATTGTCATTTTGGTTTGCTTATTAATCTTGAATTGGTCGTTCTAGTTTACAAAATGAAGTTCGTTGGACAAGAATGACTTAGATTGAGGTTGGAATGTAGGATCCTTCTTATTTTGGACTGCATTTACTTTATTCTTCATTTCACCTTTCCTTTTTTATTTTTGTTGTCACTTTTATAAAATTGGCTTGGATCATTTTGTTACTCCAATGTTCAGTACCATTGATCTTTCTCTCGTTCTCTTTGTTATTTTTTCCAACTAAAGCTGAGATAAATTCTTCTTTTTTTGAATGCAGACTTGATTTCTCTTTTAGAAACAATAAGTTTCACCATTGATGTTGAAGGTTTTAGTGGTATATGCACTTGGCAGCATTTTCCCTTTGGTTTCGGTTGTATATGCATTTGCTTAATTAGCAGCTCATATTGTATTTAAATAACAATTCCTTTATATTAATGCTGATAGTTACCAAAGTTTTCCCCTCAAGCAGAATAAACTGATTATCCGTATCAAAAAAACAAGAATAAACTGATTATGTTTGTGTGTTCAGCAAATTTAGGGACATTTATGATGAAGAATACTTTGTCAATACCTTGAAAAATGATGTTCGGGTGGTCAATAAGATTCCTGAGTACCTGATGGAAAGATTTGGCAGCAACCTCTCAAACATTTACAATTTCAGGATAAAGGCGTGGTCTTCTATCGGGTACTACAGAGACACAGTACTCCCAAAGTTACTTGAAGAAAAGTGAGTATAGGATCACTGTGTGAAGAATCTCTAATTATAGCTTATAGTAGCATGACCTGTAACTGTCAAATGATGCAAATGGCCAATGCTTCTTTTTGGTTAGCCTTTAGAAAAAAACATTAACATTTCTTTGCCTTCTAACTGAATAAACTTTGGAAAAGTAGGTAATAGGTAATTTTACATTGGAAAGTAGAAGAATTATCAAAAGATATCTTTACATTATGGCGTGTTATAATTTATGTTTAGAGGTTATGTAAAAGACCATTTCAACTTAGAAACTTGAGCTGTTAAGTGAAGGACTGTGAATAGCTTTATTGTACCCTCTAACACTGCCCCTCAGCAAAAGCCCTTTGGACTTGAGGTGTTGACAAACTATTGAGCCGCCACATTTGTGTTGAAACATAATTTGTTTTAAACAAAGTGAGGCGAATGAGGGGCAACAAAGTTTGAACTCTTGGTCACTTGGTCTTGGAGGATTTGATACCATGCAAAGCTGGTTTCAATTTAAAAGCCTAAATAGTGAAATGAGTTCCCACGAATAGCTTGATAAACTTTAAAATTCAAAGAGGGGAAAACTATTATGTCCGGTGTTTTTAAGAAGTTTCTCTATTAAAACCATGCAGGGTCATAAGGATTTCTCCTTTTGCAAATAGATTGTCATTTGATGCTCCTCCAGCTGTCCAGCGACTTAGATGCTTAGCAAATTATGCGGCTTTACGGTTTTCTAGTCCTATATTAACTCTAGGTGAATCTTTGGTCACAAGGATGAGAGAACGCAGTGGAGCAAATGGTGGCAAATATGTCTCCATACATCTTCGTTTTGAAGAGGTTAGATTTAAGCAGATATGAATATTTTGTTTCTCTAATTGTGAAACATTGTATCTTAAATTTTTATTGCAACTGTTGGCCCATGTATTATCATGTGCAGGATATGGTTGCTTTCTCATGTTGTGTTTTTGATGGGGGGAAGCAAGAAAAAAATGACATGGATGCAGCAAGAGAAAGAGGTTGGAAAGGGAAATTTACAAAACCTGGACGAGTTATACGTCCCGGAGTTAACAGGATTAATGGGAAGTGTCCCCTCACTCCTTTAGAGGTGATAGTCTTCTTGAATCTCTTTTGGTCTTCATCTGCAAGATTAGAAGGAATATTTAAGTGACTCTTCATCGTGGAAGTTTTTAGTTTTGCTAGGATTTTCAAAGCTTAGTGGAAGTCTCTTTTTTGTTTCATCACTGTCATGTCCCTAGTCCCTACTGTTCTTGTCCTGATGGCAAATTTTAATTATTTTTCCCTTGAACTTTGCCATTCAAAATTATCGTTGATGTGTTTCTCCAGGTGGGATTGATGCTTAGGGGCATGGGTTTCTCTAAGAACACATCTATCTTTTTGGCATCTGGAAAGATATATAATGCTGAGAAAAATATGGCTCCGCTACTGGAAATGTTTCCCAATTTGCAGACAAAGGAATCCTTGGCATCTGAAGAGGAGCTTGCTCCATTTGAGGTACACTTTTCTACTTTGGCGCAGCTTCCCACATTCAGTTGATTAACGGCTGTGATTTTGACTTGAGTTACTTCTTCTAGAACTATTCTTCCAGGATGGCTGCTATAGACTACACTGTTTGTCTTCATAGTGAGGTGTTTGTCACCACTCAAGGTGGCAACTTTCCTCATTTTCTAGTGGGCCACCGAAGATACTTATATGGTGGACATGCTAAGACAATTAAGCCTGATAAGCGCAAGTTAGCATTATTTTTTGATAATCCCAATATTGGGTATGTATCATGTTACTTCACTGTTATTTCTCTTTTGTTCAGTTTTATGCAGCAGGAGTAGTTGATACATGAGACTACAAATTTAGCTTTTTTATTTTCTTTGAACATAATCAACAACAGTAATAAACAGAGATTGCATGAAGCATTAATATTTCACTTACTAGAGGCATGCTTATTGAACTCAAGGAAACATACATGATACATCATAGCTTAGGTTGTGACATCCGCCATAAAGTTAGCACATTCATTTCCTTCCCTATGCAAAGGATTGAATGATAAAACCCAATCAATCCCTTGCTAGTAACTACTTGGCTTCCTCTATACTCTTTTTGGTCCCATTTGTAAGTCATTTTCAACATTTTTCTCCAGAATTAAAGAAAACCTTGAAACTCTGTCTTAAAAGGTTTCCTACTTTCCTACATCAACATTGCATAAAGATTGAAAAACCAAAGAAAATTGTAACAAATAATCAATGTGGTGCCTTATATTAAGGACCATAATACCCTCTTTTCAAGTGTCTTATAAATAAGACCGGAGGGAGTAAATTTCTATATAATGATGTCGAGATTTATCAGAATTGGTAATAGTGTTTATAGCTTCTGCACAGTCACTGAACACATTCACACGTCTTCAACATTGGTTCCAGCAAAGTTCCAGACTATTCCCTCAATTCATGCTACAGTTGATGGACAATGAAGAATTCTGCATCCAATGCCTCCCCACGAGGCTGATTCTGCAATCTTCACAGAAGCATGCTGTGAATGGTCATTATTTCTGAAGCTGACAATAGGATAAGATGGATTTGAAACACGATAATTCAATTAAAATAGTTTTTTTTTAGGGGTGGGGAGAAGGATTAGAGGCATCCTGTATGCTTATTGAACTTGAGGAAGCATACGCTTCCAAAACCTCTGAAGAGTTTGACCACTGAGGGACCATGCCTATCTAGGCCATCAACAAATATCCCACATAGAAAATATTGGTCCACACAAAGAATAACAAGGGGACACATGGGGAGCTGAGATAGCCTCATCTGTACAAAATTATGAATGCAAGAGTCTTGTCAGTAGCAATAAATTTTATTGATCGGAGTGTATTAAGTTTGCCTAGTTTTTTTATCACTTTCAGGACAGCACCTCATGCTAATTAAAATAGTCAAAGAAATGATTCTGATGAATTCCAGTTTGTTAATGTTCTTATGAAAAGATAACAGTTGTTTAATCCTTGTAGAAACTAGAAATTCTGAAGAGTTCCTTCTCTATGATTAATTTCCAGATGGAAGACTCTCAAACGTCAACTGCTGAGCATGAGGTCGCATAGTGATTCCAAGGGGTTTGAGCTAAAAAGACCTAATGATTCAATATATAGCTTTCCATGCCCACACTGCATGTGCCGTGCAAATAGAACTGATCAGTCTAGATCTTCAAGAGCAAATTGAATTAGAAACTTGATGGCTACCTCTTCGCCATAACCTTGTCAGAATGCGTTGTTGACGAGCATCTTTTTCTGGTGCTATGGTTATTTCAATTTTTATATCTTCCCTTCCCCTCTGGTGAGAGGGTAAACAGAATTTTCAGGTGACCAGAGGATTTTGTTGACGGTCGCATGGGTCTAATTATTGCTTGGGATTGGATTTGAAGGGAGTGGCATCATTTTTTTTATGTGATGCCGACTATCAACAGATTGGAACTTGTTCCTTCGCAGGAAGCACTCCCACAACATTTGATTGAAGATTGTTTCATGTTTGAATGAATCAGCAGCTACTGTATCTAACAAGCTGTGAAATGACAAACGTACTTCACACCCTGACTGTACATTAGTTGGAGTTAGCCCCGGATAGTTTCGTTTACATTGCTTTTATTTTCAAATTGATTTTTAGTTTTTTTTTCAATTGATTTCAAAATTAGGGTTTCATTGTCAGATGTATAAACTTTGTATCTCAGCTCCATTTGTTATTCTTTTACATTGTTTCCCCATTATTTTAGTGAAGAAATAGTTAAATGTAATTAATTCATTTGTCTTGCGTTACAGGCAAATGCATAAGCTCTATAGATTTCTAGATTTATGGTTGGACGTGACACCTGAGGGTTCTTATCTTGAGTTCAGAATCTGGAAATACATCTTATTTCTCACATAAATACATCTTATTTCTTATATAGTGATAAAGCCCAATTTTTATGTATTTTATCCTATATTAATCTAAAATTTAAATGATAATTTTGAGTTTAAATGGATTTTTATGTATTATCAGATTGATTGGTTGATTTTTGGAATTTTCATAAAAATAGAGATTTTGGATTAAAAATATAAATATTTTGTGGTTTCCTATTTTCAGCTTAGAATTAATATTTTCTATTTTTTTGAAAACACGTCTCATGTTTTTAGGAAGATTGATTTTTGAAAAGTTTTGTGATTTCTTGTCTAATTTTTATGCATATCTAATATTTAATTTTAATATAGATTATATTCTATTAAGATATAATATACATTAATAGATGCATTTAAATTCTTGTAGGACAAGAAAGAGCATATAAGAAATTCAACAGTCTAAGATTATTTTTTAGAATTCAAGCACAATCCAAAAGCTAATATCAAATGGGTAAATTAACTACTAATGGGCTTAAGCTTTAGATCTAAAAGAATTTTCTTTTCTTCCCATTAAAATATTCCTCTCACCAGGGAACGAAAAATCTCTTCCTTCACCAATCCCTCTAGACACGCTTTGCCTCATATTTTCCATCATTCCATAGTCACCAAAAAGGAACAACACGTTCTTTGATTCCTCATCATCCTCTCTCACCATCATCAATTCACATCCTCTGCTTTCTTACTACACGTACAAAAAGTCATTATTCATCATCATCCATTCAACTAATTCCCTTCCTTAGACACACACCTACACCACCCTTCATCATTCACAAGTCATCATGACCGTGAGTTTCATGGAGCTTGGAGGGAAGATCATTTTGATGGCAGCTTGAGCTTGTTTGGGAGACAACTTGGGAGGAGGATGAAGAAGACTTGAGCCTTGGGCTAGCACTTGAAGAAGGGAATGATATTCCATTTATCTTTTTAATTCAAGGACTTAAAATTATTTAGTTTTAAATAATTTTGAGTTGTATTTTTGTGAGACAATTTAGTTCGAAATTGTTATTTTTATTCTTGGATTAGATTAATATTTGGATTTTATTTGTATTGAAATACTTATTGGAATTTGTATTTATGAACCTTTGCATTGTTAATTTAATTTATAATTGAGTTTTCATTATGGATTTAATTATCAATGTGGTTTGAATTGCAAATTTGGGTTCTTTTACCTCTTGATTGTTTAATTGAGTTGGTAAATTATCTAGTTCTTTGATTAGATAATTTTAAGCATAATTTTCAGAATTAATTAGAATTATTTTCATTGGTTTTAATGAGTTTAATTAACCAACCTTATATCGTTATGGGTTCTCTAATGGTTTAAGGGTTTTTGAAATTGAGGATTCCTTTTGTTTCAAGTAGGTAATTAAACTTATTAATTCCACTCTCTTATCACTTTTCTTGGGTTTAATTAATTGATTTAGGTTATGAAGGTTAAATCCATGTGACTTATAAGTTGTTCCCTCTATCGTACCTGAAGAGAAACCTCTCACTTTTACTTGTTAATTTTCCCTCTCTAGTTAATTTTCTTTATTTATCATTTTAATTTTTCCTTCTGAAAAAAAATCCTCCCAAAAATTGCATTTGCAGTCATCTAGTTTAATTTAATTTTCATATAGATTTTTAGGACATTTGCATTTTGCATTTAGAATTAAAATTTTACATTTTAGTTTAGGTCTATTTTACTATATTTTTCATCTAAATTTTTACCTAAAGAAACCCATAACTTGCTCCTTAAAAGTAATAACCTAGGTTGATTTTAAACTACAAATTAATTGGGACTTAGATTAATTGAGTGCTTTAACAACAAAGGCATCATCACAGAGTCAATTGGTTTAGGTAATATGTTAAATTATTGTTTTCCCTCCAAAATAACATGGAAAGCATTTTTTTAAAAAATGCACAGGTACTGTTTTGTTGTTTAAACAATAGAAATAAGCTGATTTCATGGAACGTATACAATGTGTTGTTATATGCATAACAATGTCTTAATCAGGTGGATATTACATGGTTATATATATTCGAGTCATTACTTATGTGGCTTACAAAATAGCAATTCATTTTGTTTTCTGGGAATATTGTCAGCTTTTTGGCTTTGGCGGACGGTAACTTTGAACCAGAGAATTTTCGTTAGGTTGTTTTAGAAATGCACCCAACATTCTTGTTTTAGGTTGACATTTCTCCTATTCAGTTACTCCCCTCCTTTTAAATGTTTATGTTTTGAAGTATCATGATAAAAAAAAAAAATAGCACGTAAGGTTAAACCCAATAAAGAACTACTCCTCCGGTCTTTAATATAGGACCCAATTATTGAGTTGGTTTTGATCCTAAATATAAGATCCATTTCTCATATTTATCAATTTTTTCTAAATTACCCTTATGGATACTCCATCAACCATAATCAAATAGAAGAGGGAGATAGGGTATTAAGAAAGATGATTATGGTGTTTTAGGAAAAATGTGTCACATTTCTTATAATTAACCAACTTACCTAACTTCCTTAATCTAATCAAATTAGTTAAATGGGTCTTATATTAAGGACCGGAGGAGTATTATAAAATTGTTGTCATAATGAATAATACTTTGAAGATACAAATATTAAGAAATACCACATCCTCCTTTAACAAGAATACCATATCCTTTTTGATCATCACAAGGCTTTGTGATCACACTACGTACGTACTCATTATATATGTGTTTGTCATCGCACTACGTAGCTCAAGAAGTGGAAGTGGGCAAGCGGCTAAAATGGTATAGTGAGTCCCTAAATTTGTAGAAAATGAATTATTCTAATACTCAACTTTTCAGGTCAAACTCTTTCTCAGCACTTCACCATCCTTTTCACAGCTCTTTGCTATCATTAACTTCGCAGCTTCTCAGCATTCTTATTCACATTCATCCCTTACCGTATCGTGCGTTCACAGCTCATCGGTATTACTATTCATCACACTCATTAGTGTACTGCGTAGAACGTTTCACCTTTTATTTCTTATATTTCTCACATTTTATTTAGCTCCTTATATAGCTTAGTTTCCTTTTCAGTATGTCCTTATAATCTATAGTTTCTCAGTGATGTATATGACTCCTTCACATCAAGTTTTATTTCTTCCATGCTCAGATTTTCCACTCTCATCCCAAATCACATTTGTTTGATTAGAAGTCAGATTTAATTCTTGTATTAGGTATATATAGCTGCAATCCACGAGGAGACAAAGCCCGTATATAGTTAGTTGGTGATGAGGCTACTTGGAATTGTGATTCATCCGCTCGGGGGTTTGATTGATATATAAGTACACCCCCCCCGTTAATTAATTTTGCTTTTTTTTTCTCTAATAGAACAAAATATATATATAAGGAGTTTATTTATTTGTACGTGACTTGAAGATAAGGGAAACTATCTACTACTCATAACTCAAGTTTGAAACGGATTATGTATATAACAGACAAAATTTATAAAAATGCATACCTTCACGTCTTCAACTATTTGAAGATTTGAGAAATTATATGCCTGCTTAAATAATTTTTTTCTTGGTGAATTGCCTGCTTAAATATTTGTAAGCCAAATTCCGAAAGGATTATCTATAAAACACTCATCGATTGAATCAAAAAAAAAAAATGGATGTGAATTTTAGAGAGAGCCACTGGGTCAATGGTGCGCACCAAGATAAAAAGTTGAGCAGAGGTTTATATGTAATAATTATGAATGTTTATTAATTAGTCTGAGGATGTCGTCCTGTGTCGGCGCCATGTCTGTGTGTTGGTACACTCATTTTGCTGTCCTGCATTGACTCTCTCTGCTTGAGGCATTGTTTGCAGATGTTTCAGCGATGAGATGAGAAAAGTTTCCTGTTCCTGCCATTCTCAGCTTTGCAAAATCGTACACAGATCTTATCCCTTTCAATATTCAATCATTTTTCAGCTTCATTAAAGCCTTCCATTTTCCTCATTTTGTCGGTCTGCTTAAAGTCTTAAACAACAACTTACGGTTACTTTTCCATGAATTAATTAACAGTTCATATAATTTTTAGTTCCTTAAATTTGCATGAAGTATTGATTTTACTCCATTAAGTTCCAAATCATGAGTTTTGGCCCCTCATTGAGCAAAATGGTACAACTTTCTATTAAATTATAGGAACTAACATAGATGGAGAGAAATTAGAAACAAAACCTATAATTTGAAATTTAAGGGACCAAAACCAAAATGAGGATAAATTTAAGAGATCAAAAATTGTATTAACCCATTAATTAAATAAACTATTCTATTATTTTAGAAAATCTGCCTAGCTAGGAGATTTTGGTCTATGTGAGATAGGGGTGGTAATACAGGCCAACCCGTGGATTGCAGGTTGGCCCGTGACAGTTTAGGTTAGGCGGTGCGGGTTAAAAAAGTCCTATGTAATGGGGGGTTAGCTTTTAGCCAACCCTAACCCACCATGGTGAGTTGACGGCTTGGCCTGCCAACCCGCCAGCTATTATTTTCTTCTTCTTCTTTTTTTCATTTTTTCATTTTTTAAATATTTTTTCTTATACAATATAAAAAATATAATAAAATTTTTTATCTTTCCTTCAAATACTTAATTAAAAACACCAAATAAATAAATAAATGGTATAAGTATTTTTTAATTTTTTAGATAAAATATAAAATATAATTAATAATATACATATAATAATTAATAAAATTTAAAAAATACAAAAAAAAAAATAAATGCATATTAGCCCGCCAATCGGTTGTGGATTAAATGGTACGGTTGAAAAGCTTTGTTTATTAGTAAATTAACTTTTAGCCAACCCTAACCTATCATTTTTAGTAGCTTGACGGGTTCAACTTATATTATTTTTAGAACTCATTCTTTCTCTTTCATCCTCTTTAACAGAATTTGGCATGTCTATGAATAGGAAAAGCTGTCATAATTTTGCTTCTTTTCAGTATCTAAAATATCAGCTATTTAAATAGTAACTGGATGCACCACGCACGCATGATACTAAGTTAATGAGTCGCACTCCTCAAACTTGTACATAATACATCTTGATATATACGCAATTTATAATTTTATATATGATCCTTTTTATCTTAAATTTAATTAATATATATATATGCATCCTAGAGCATCTAATTAAAACCCATAAATATTACATTGGCAAGTAATATTAATATAGGGATACACCTACGCAGCATTCTTAAAAAAATTGATACTTTCGAACTCGAAGATGTGAACCTGATAGACTAAAACATGTCTCATAGCACGCAACATTTGGATATAACAACTATATGCCAACTATATTCCTTCAGTTTCGTAAGGGAAGGAACTCAAAAAACTGATTGGAAGTGATTTCAGAGTCCATGGAAGCATTGAAGGAACAGAATTTCTCTTTCCTTCTTTCAGTGACACAAAGGCCCTCATCTTCATCTGATCGCTCAAGAGGAAACAGCTCAAGGGTTCTGTCATCTGCAACTTCTTCTTCTTCTTCAGCAGAACGATCATAATTTGTAGGGTTTGAATTTTGTGTATGATGAGTTGTAGTTGAAGTGGTAATGCTTTTGATGAGATGCTTGGAATTTGAAAGGAAGCAAGACATATCTCCAATTTGGCACTTAGCTTCTTGGCTTTTCTCTCTCTTGATTCTCAAAATCCGTGTCTCTCTCTCCTCCCTTTGAGTCCTTCTATAAGCTCCTCTTTCTGCTCTATTCAGCGGATCAGAGACCTGCAAATTTCAGATGGTGTTGAGATTCATAATATGAATTGTAGCTAATAGTGGTGTGGGACTATTTTTGGGTTGAAGGATTAAATCTTGATTATTAGTACTAACAAGTAACAACATAAAAAATTAATTAAAATCTTAATAGATTGGGAATATTTAAGACTGATATTATACTGCTTAATCTATTCAGTCCAACGATTTGTATATGAAATAGCTTAGATAGATATATAATGACAAAATGAAAATTAATCTTCTGCATCTTAAAATATATTGGAAAGTGATATGAAGTATGCAAGGTTGAAATCTCTTCAATTTATGCTTCTCTAACTGCACAATCTGCAATAATCAAAGAATGTATTTGTTATTTAAACCGTATTGTTAGTTTCTAAACAAATTTATAAAATCTCATGTTTGCTTTGGAAAAAAAGAACATCAAAGGTGTATCTATTGAATATTTTGAACTAACTAATAATCATAAATAAACGCGTATGCAAAGTGTAAACATGTGTATAATACATTTTTTTGACAAGAAAGGGAGGATTCACTTACATATAATTTACATGTGTCATAAATAATACCCATGTGGTTTAACTCTTAATTTATGCATGATAGATGGAGACCAAACCTAGTTTACCCAGAATCTCTTTTACTGTATTTCTTGCTTTTTCATATTCCTAAAATGTGCTTTGTGGCCTGACATTTTTCATTGACTTTGGGAAGCAAATAATTGGATGCTATTATTATCGTCCTTTAGAATCGATTTTAGGGCATCTCTCTCTCTCTCTCTATATATATATATTTTTTGCCAACCTATATATATGTTTGTATATATATGAGTAATATATGGCTATCTATATATGTACCAAACACAAAGCCAAAAGATAATATGTACAGTACAGACCTCTGCAAGTGCACTGCAGTTTGAAGAAGATGACCACTTCTTTGTCTCTTTAACTTCATAACTTGTCCCTCTCAATCCTGAACACAATGTCCAGACAAATCAAATCTCTACTTCAAATCTTTCCTCCCACAAAATCTAATCATTAAAATATTTATATGTAACACTATAATATCTCTCTCTCTCCGTATAAAGTTGCAGCATCAGGGTTTCAGTGAACTGATATCTTAAACTTACACTACTCATCAACTTTAACGCAATCTTGTAAACTAAACTCATCACTAGGACAATTAAAAGCTTATGTATATATGCCTAACTAACTGTTATACCTTGAAGAACGTGTAGGGGTGATAGGTTTTGTGAGGTTAATCCCATAGCGCACATATGATGATCTTTTTCTTGCAGAGCAGAAGGAGAAGAAGGGGGAGGAGAGATTTCCATGTCGGCGCAACGACGACGTTTCTGGCGCTCTCTTGCTTTGTGGTTCTGGAACCAGTAGAAGACATTCTTGGCTTCGATCTTGCCAAAACGACGTAGCTGCGAAGCTATTACCTGGATTTGTTGAGCCGTTGGCGTCTTAGTTCCTTGTCTGTAAACTTGCTCAAGGTATAGCAGTTGCGCAGGTGTTGGACTCCACCTTGATGAGCTGCTTGTAATACCTGCTTCTTCTCCAACGTAACCTGTAATTAATTACGTGGTTGGATCGACAAGAACCAAAAGAGAAATGAAATGAGAAAGATCAATACATACTATTAACGTAAGAAAGAGTCCATAAAAAGAAGTTAGGAATTTAAGAAAGAAAAAGTGAGGTTTTACCGAGATGGTAAATATTGAAGGAGAAAAGATTGGTACAGTGGGCACAGAGAGAATAAGGATTATTTGGAGTTATTTCTGGAGCTGATGATGGAGAAATAATGGTGGGATTTGGAGTGCAGTAAGAGTGAAGCTTGAATGCACCGAGTGAATCAGACATACTGAAAAATATGATCAGCACTTTCAAGCTTTGATTATATAGTTGAGGAAAATGGGTCAGTGAATCAGAGGTTTGGGTTTGAAGCTTGAGGAGGAAGTAGTGTGTAATAGAGAGAGGCTTATGGTAAGGAGGAACAAGCCACATGCGTACATATATATATATATATATATAGAGAGAGAGAGAGAGAGAGAGAGAGAGTTAATTGATTAGTTGACTATTGTATCCCATTAAAAATCAGCGGGAGAGAAGTATAGGTGATGAATTTTTGTGTTTGGAGAAGTCGTTATATTTTACTTAAAATAGATGCATCGTCTTAACCTGGATAGGTTCCATATATCAAGTATGTGCGTATGTGTATACAAAATTTTAGGAGGAAGATCGAATCAGTAATAGACATGTGAAATATATATACCGGCCTACATGTAGAGAAAGAAAGAAAACAGAAAAAAAAAGAAGGTATAATTGTATTTTTTAATTTTTGTCCAATAAAAAAGAACGTATTTTTCTGAGATCAACGAATGCAGCAAAAGCTACTTAAATATTGTTCATTAACAGTGCCTTCAGCATCGTATATCAAGGCTTTCACAGTTCGTTTTCTTCATTGAAAGCTACTCTCTCCAGATATGACACCTCACACTAATAGGAGCTGGGTCTAGCAGAAGGAGTTAGTCCCTCACAATGTGGCAAACTAAAGTTTAAATCCGTGCTCGGAGAAGTGCTCACATTTAATGCTTGACAATGCCTCAAATAGGATTACTTCTAATAGAATGATACATATATTTTAGCCAAAAAAAAATGACACCTAACTCTCTCTCTCTATATATATTATACATTGACACAGTACAATATTACTATATATGCACACTAGACACTGCGTGTGGTGAATAGCTTGATAGCGACTTCTAACGGCAAAAGCTTTTGAATGAAGGGAATCAAAAAGCTGATAACTGGTACATAGCCCTATAAAGAGTTTAGAGTCATGCGTGAAGATCACTAGCTTAACGCTGTTTTCGTCTCTATATGATTATTAGTTGGTTTAACAACAAACTTAATTCACTAGCTCCTTCATTCATACTGTTACTAACACAATGCATTTGATTCTACAAGGATTTGAAGCCTTGTGATTAAAAAGTTGTTTTTAAAGTCCTAAAACATTAGAATTGTATTGTGTTTCTCCCTTCTTCCTCATCGTTTCATATCATACTTTTCTTTTAACTGTTTTGAACAACTAACTTTCTTGTCTGGATGTTTCAAATAAATAAAGAATAGTGTCCAGCACAAACTATCCCAGTGATAACGTGAAAAAGAATATCACAAGAATATAAACATCCATGAAAGTATCATAAATTTAAAAATAATTAAAACATATAATTTAAACTTGTCCCTTTAAGGGAGAAGATTCGATAGTCTCAAAAGTTACAATACAACATCATAAACTCATCAATAAGATTACAATAAAGGATAACAAAACTACATCTGATCGTTGATGAATGTGGAGGATCTAATAATCTAATACAAATGCCCTTTCTAATCCAAGCGCATCATAACGGTTATATCGACAAATATTGTTGATGAATGTTTCATAAGCTGCATGATTGGCAGCTTTCTATTCCAGAAGCTTGTTGCAGGTACCTACACCCAGAGCTGCAGCAAGATGCCAAGCAGCATGAAGGTATGGAGTTTCGGGATATAGATCGTCGGCTATGAAAAGCACACCACCCAGCAACGATGACATCTTATGCACATTGTGGGCTATCCTCAGGTCCGGATCTTTCACTGCCCTTTTAGCAAATGCTACCTGCATAAAATTCATTCTCTTTATAGAGTAACAAGGCCTATATATATATATATATATATATATATATATATATATCAGGAATACTCTATTCTTCTCTAGATGGAAAGACACAGACAGATGGACGTCTTTTCATTTTTATCCTTCACAAAACACTTGATTCAGTTTATTCCTTCAATCATTAAAATACTTCCAATATTGTCCTACCATCCTATTTTCATTTAAAAACTAACAGGTTTATTTATATATATAGTGGAATAATATCATCTTTGCCTCCTCTTGTTTTTCGACATACCTCAGGGAAAGAGGGGAGAGAATGGGTGATGGAGTGATGATGAAGTGATGAAACGTGGAGCTTTTTTGGGACCTAGTCAGCAGCATCTTTTGCCGTATAGGATTATGGGGTGATGACTCAAAGGTGAGCTAGTTATGTTAAGGATTGATTTATTAAATGAGAAAAGATTAAGGACTGAGTTATAACCGAGTTAAAAGCTGAGAGACTGAGTCATGACTAAGTTAAAAGTTAGAGGACAAAAAAATTAATTTTCTCTAAAATTTTCATACAACTCTATCCTCTTGTTCAAAGAGAGGGTCGGGCTGCCAAGTTGGCCCTAGGGCCAACCCCACTCAAGCCACAAATTTGTTGGCCCTGTTTATGTTAAGCTCAATATGACCAAGTTCCCGGCCCCATCTAGACCCCCAGCAAAAATCAAACGACAGTGATTAGAAGTTTCAACCCCAGAAAAAAAAACCCAAAAAGAAAAAGGCAAAATCTTGAAACCAAGTGCAACTTGATTCTAGCTTGAAATGTCATACGTGATTAGCAGTTAAATCATAATCAAGTTTGTATTTGGATTGGACTGTAATTAGATCATGTAATTTGGACCAGACCATTAAAAGGTCCAAAATTCAGGTCAGAGGTTTCACTAGGCCTTTATGTTCTTTTAGAGCAACCAGTGTTGTATTACTTGTAAAAGGTAATGGAACCAAATTGTCATAAATCAAGATCAAAGGAAGGGATAAGAAATGAATTACCTCCATCATCCCAGTGTGAACAAGTGAAACCATCAATGGTTGAACAGGAAGAAAAACAGCAGTTGCCGCCATCAGCATCTTTGGATTCTCATTTCTCAGGGCCCTTGACAGACACTGTAGAAAGATTTCATTGTCAAAAGTGATTCAGTGACTGGGCAACCTGAAGTAATCTTCAATTTGGCAATCTAAAATACTGCAAAAGGGGTTGTGGTGATGAAAATGTCGGGAAGGCATTTCAGATTGTGTCATATGCATGCCCACATCAGAAATAAAGGTGTATAGAAAATATTTATTGACTGATGTCATAATAATCATTATATTTGCCACGCCTGCACAACAATATGAAATAATAATTAAATATGCTGAATGCAATACATGCACAAGAACATGCTTCAACATTCAAGAGGAAATAAAAGTAACTTTGCCAACAGGCATCCCCTAGTGGCACTGGAACTGTTTCTGAAGACATCCCAGGTTAAGATGGAAATCCCAAAAGTAAAACCAGAAGTTAAAAGTGATCTTTTACGTGTATAAGCAGCATAACAAAAGAGAAAAAGACAAGAATGCCTTGTAATGACACCATGTTAAATTATTGTCTCACAAATGATTAGTTAGCGGAAAAAAATAGAGCAAGTCCTCTCTTAAATTATAGGAGTAAACCATGTTGGTCAGGATCGCTAGTTAGATTCTGAGGTCTTATGACACCACCTCCCAAAACCCAGGATTGTGGAAGGACTATGATCAAACTTGTAAGATTCTTGGATCAAGCAATGCTACTTTTATTTTGGCATTTTATGAGTTGGGTTTGCATATGATTTATTTTCCTTTACTTTTGCAAATTTTGACTTGTATTCTTGAGGTATGATGAGATTTTCTTAGTTTTATGCTTATCTAAAAAATCTGCAAATATGTTCATATTTTTTTCCCTCGAGCAGTAGGGTCTCACCATCATTGATCTGATCCTACAATTCAATCTTTTATGCTTCAGCTGATCTGATTTACCATCTCAATCTTAACAACCTTGAGAGCACCTTTCCTTTCCTCATCACGACAAAAACAACTCAGGCCTGTGGTGGCTCTCATGGCTCATTAAGTTAAACATGAACAACAAAGTCTTATAGCAGATATATTTCTTTCCTAAGTTAATGGGTTAGAAATGTAAGTACATAAATTATTGCTTATAAGCGGTGAAATGGATAAGCTGTCAAGTATCACATGATAAGTTCTTAAAACCAAAAGTTGAAACAAGCCAACCAAGAATATCTTAATTGCATTGTTAAGATCGAGTGATTAATGATATGAAGATAAAGATAAATTTTACATTTCTGTGTTAGTCATTTAAACTTAAAGATTATTATTCAACCTCCCAGTAGTTAGCTTAGCCTAGTATTCACTTAACCAATTTGTGCCTTTGTGGCGTTTTTTGTCCCAGTTTTAATGAAAATAATCAAGCAGATTAATGATCAGTATTAACCACTGCCCGATGAAGAGATTAATAGACAATGGCTGCTAGGTTGATTATCCTATTTTCGATAGATCCTTCATATAATCCTTACTCAGAATACAGCACAGAAAATATCAAGAAATATGACATTGGCCAAAAAAAAGCTGGAAAAAAAAAACTTGGTGCCATTTAGATAGGGCTTTCCGCATGATGGAAATGGTGAAAAAAATTAACAATCAAGGATGAATTGCTTCTTTAAAAGTTATAGAAAGAAACTGACTTTCTGAGTTAAAAGTGAGTCCCCCTTAAATTGAGAAGCAAGTGAATTAATTCGCTAAACATAGCTATATTTGAAAATCAAATCTAACAGCACCTCTGAACAGTGTCCAGAAAAGAGACTATACTATGGGCTACTAAAACCTTTTTAGTGAACTTCCATATATCACTTGCATAATCCTAATTCACATTTATGCAGAGGAACACACACACAAACACACACATATATATAAGATGGAGAAAACACGACATTGTCCAGCTTCAGGTTTTTGCATGTTCGAGGCAATAAAAATGTAGCGAAACGGCATTTCTCAGCTATATATGTGTGACTTACAACGGTTGCTGTTGCTATCATTGTGTAGTCAACCCATCTCAAGAATTTTCTCAACTTTCCCCTTGAACAATGGTACATGCTTGAGGCCACTCCAACTCCAATCAATGAATTAGCATACATTTTGGAATTAAGATTCCTCCTACATTTGGAGATACATAATGACTAATTACTCATAAGATATGTAAGATGATTTCCAAGTCTAGAAGGACAATAAGCTTAGAGGAGAATACTACCTAGGGGCATTAAATCCTAGAGCTATA